TTATTCTGAAGGTCTGAGGGTAAAAGGGAGGCCATCTACCCTGTTTAAGAATCAAGTTCCAGGGGCGCCTGGGTGGCTGAGTCGGTTAAGCGTCCGACTTTCGCTCGGGTCATGATCTCACGGTTCGTGGGTTCGAGCCCCGCGTCGGGCTCTGTGCTGACTGCCAGCTCGGAGCCTGGATTCTGTTTCAGTCTGTGACTCCCTCTCTCTCTGACCCTCCCCTGCTCACGCTGTCTCTCTCTCTCTCTCTCCTAGAAATAAAAAAAAAAAAAAAAAAAAAGAATCAAGTCATGGTAGCCTCGGTGGCTCAGTCAAGTCATGATCTCCTGGTTTCTGGGTTGGAGCCCTATCTCAGGCTCTATCCTTACAGCTTAGAGCCTGGAGCCTGCTTTTGGATTCCATGTCTCCCTCTCTCTCTGCCCCTCCCCAGCTCATGTTCTTTCTGTCTCTCAGAAATGAGTAAATGTTAAAAAATTTTTTTGAAGAATCAAGTTCCATATAAGATGCAAAATATGCATCTTCAGAGTCCCTAACCTCCTTCTCTGTCCACCACCACTGTGTTCTGCTTGACAGGTTGGGTCACTCTCCTAGCAACATCCTATGGTCTAGACCTCCCAACTCCTAACCTTGCAAAACTTCCCTGTCCTAGATATGGGCTGATAAACAGAAAAAAAAAAGTTTAAAACCATTTCCAACACCTATTTACAAGTAATTGACCCGCACAGATTTTCTGGTGATCACAGCCCTCCAATAATGGCTAAATATTTCAAAAGTCAACTGAAATCATGTAGACCATTACTCTAATATACCTGGATCATCAATCCTACAGGGCCATAGTAAGAGTAGCACCCCCAACTATCCCTTCCAGTACAATGATCTCTAAAAACGTGAGATTCACATCTTAATGTGCTTTGTATGATCTATCAGCTGGAGTTTTTATTTGGCATAACCCCTTGCACCATATTAACCATGTATATGTGTCAACAGCTTACCTGACCAGCTTTGCCTTGCACCACCCTGTCCTTTAGGTTCTGAATCACTGCCCCACTTTTACTTCTTCTTGAAGATCTGCACACATTTTTCACTCCCTCCTCCCTCCCTATACCTATACCTTTGCCTCCTCAGTTTTTCCTTATCACTTAAAAACCCTATTCAAACGTTAAGCACACATGGACCCATTTCCTGACCAGGTTTTATTTACATCATATAATCTCTCAGAGCTTCACGCACTTCTTCCATAGAAACCATCAAAGCTCTGATAACTGTTCTGCTATTTACCATCTGTCACCATGTGGAGGTACGCAGAAGGACAAAGACTATCTCTGTTATGCTCAGCGATAGACCTCCAGAATCGAGCCTAGTGGTTCCACATAGATCATGGTCTCATCAACATTTGTAAACTAAATGAATAAATAAATAACCTGGCAAAAATGGACACGCTTTCCAAAACAGTCACAATACTATTGTCCTGCAAAGTGGGAATTATCAAATAACACCCAAAAAGAAATTCTGGTTAGAGAACAGGTAGGCAAAAAAGAAACATGAAAGGGCATAAACTTTTTGTAATGAAAGGAAAACCTTGATAATCCATATGCTTTAGAACTTGGGAGACAAATCCACTCACATGCTTTATCTTTCTCGAGACTATAGGCATTTGCATAAAAGTGAATTTAAAATAAAAACGAAACAAGTTCTACTGTTAACCATTAAATAAAAAAGCTGAAACTTAATAAGGAAGCTTCAGAAATTAACATAAGCAAAACAGGGAGCCATAGTTGTTTTGCTTTTTTAATATAAGGATTAGTCCCCAAACAATCCCAAAAATATCCATGCAAGTTTTAACCATCAAGAAAGAAGTACTGAACACTTGTTTCGGGTTCATAGCCTGCCAAGTACCCAGTGACCAAGAGAATTCACTGCCTTCAGCAGGGGGTGAGACCAGAGGTGTGTCCCTCCACCTGAGCTTGCTTCAGAAACACTGGATCATTCTACACAGGTGCTGGGCCCCTCCACAGAGCTTCCTATACAGGAGGTGGAAAGTTTTACTTCTAACAAGTTCCTGGTTTGGGGGTCACACTTTGAGAAGCATTAACAAATTTTGGAATAAAAAGCAGGAAGCCTACAATGTAGGCAGAGGTAGGAAACTGAAATTACACTTGCCACCACTTCCCTTGTTCAACTATATTCCCCCCAAAATGCAATCTATTCTAACTCCTGGCTTCGTTCACACCCTAAAATAAAGAGAGCATGTAGATCAAGTGTACCCTCCTTAAAGGATGCTTCTTAGGGGCACCTGAGTGTCTCAGTCAGTTAAGTGTCTGACTCTTTATTTCTGCTCAGGTCATGATCTCGTGATCATGGGATTTGTGAGCCTGCTTGGGATTCTCTGACCCCTCTCTCTTTCTCTCTCTCCTGATCACTTACACACACACACACACACACACACACACACACACACGCATGCACGCGCGCGCGCGTTCTCAAAATAAATAAAGTTAACGGCAACGATGAAAAGGCTGCTTCTTGTAGCCACATTATCTCCTCTTGAAGAGAACTTCCTGGTCTACAGAGGTCCAGCACAGAGCCACATAAATGGATTTCATTATTGATATACCTTGATTTAAAATAACAACAATGGGGGTGCCTGGGTGGCTCAGATACTTAAGCCACCGACTCTTGGATTCACCTCAGGTCATGATCTCATGGTTCATGGGTTCAAGTAGGGCCTGCTTGGGATTCTTTCTCCCTCCCTCTTTGACCCTCCCCACTCATTATCACTTTCTCTTTCTCTCTCTCAAAATAAATAAACAAAAAATAAGTAAAAAATGAAATGACAAAATTAGTTGCCACTTGTTAAACACTCTCCTTGTGTTCATGGTTACATGCTATGTACTCTACATACCTTAGTTCATATATACTTATTACAGCCCTGAAGATATATAGAAGCCATTCTCATTCTTCATATATTGCATGTATGCTACTTTTCCCACTTTCTAAAATTGTAACTCCAAAAGCAACATTTCTGGAATTTTGAAGTCATTCAGACATGTATACATGTTTCTAGCTAAGGTCAACTAAGGTGACACTCTGCTTCCTTTCAGGTCTCATGTATAAACAAGTAACCTTTCCACAGTTTGTTTAGTACCTCGTATTAACACCTTTTGTTGATTTCACTATTTAAAATGGCCCACGCATAATGCTGTCATGCATGTCTAGTGTTCTCAAGTTCAAGAAGGCTGTGATGTGCCTCATGGAAAACATACATGTGTTAGATAAGCTTTGTTCAGGCATGAGTTACAGTGCTGTTGGCCATGAGTTCAATATTAAAGAATCACCAACACATATAAAATAATGTGGCTTTAAACATAAACACACATAAAACAAGATTATGTACTGACTGGTTGACAAAAATGACCAAAAGCTCATAGCAACCTAACTATATTCTCTAATTCAGTGTTTACAGCAACTTTATAGATGATAATTACCACAAATAATGAGGATTAATAGTACTTGTAACAACACAGTAGATAGTTTTTACTTCTATTTTACAAGTAAGAAGATTGTTGCTTAAAAGGGTGAGAACACATGTCAAGGAGGTAGTAGAGTCTGGGTTCTAGCCAGTTTCTGTTCAGACATGTTCTCCCACCACACACTGGACCTAGAGGGGCTGAACATCCTCATGAGTGAGGATAATGGGATAACTTTCCCATTTTCCATAATGGGAAAGTTATAGTTCTTAGCACATAGCCATGTATCATGGCTTTGTAATGTCACTAAGAAAATATCACTTTGCTGGTCCCTTCCTGGGTATAGAATAAGGTTTATTCCCATCTTCCAGAAAACCAACCATGTTATAAGATACTGATTTCCATGTTATTTGGTTCTAAATAACAGAGAGGTATTTATTAAAAATAAAGGTTTGGATTTTTCTCTTCTGCTTTCTAGAATAAACTAATCCTGTCTTCAGTTTTGTAGTGTTATTTAGCAGATTTAATAAGCCAACACATTTAAATTGTTTTTGCACAGTGCCTAGTCAGCACCAGGACACAATGGCATCTTGTGTAGGCTTATATGTCCCTACAAATAATTTAAGTATCTATTTAACATTTATTTAGTAAAGATGCTAACTTGCTGCACTGAGAGAAAGTACTGGCCAGTCCTTCCTCTCTCAGGAATTCACCTTTGGCCTCAGATTCACTCTAGAGCTAGGTTTATCAATACCAGCTCTGTTGACATTTAAGCAGGATTATTTATTGCAAGGGAAGCAAGTAGCTGTCCTGTCCACTGTAGAATTTATAGTGGTGCCCCTGGTTTCTACCTACAAGAGGCCACTAACATTCCCCGCCAGTTAGAACAACCAAAAATGTCTCTACAGATTGCCAAGAGCCTCGTCCCACAATATGAGGGGATGAGCCTTCTAGTTGAAAATCACTGCTCTAGAGAATGAGGAAGACATTTACCTGGTAAGCACTCAAGGGAACCAACCTGATATCCACTGAAATCTGAAATGTTTGGTCTGCATCCATGGCATACCATCCATTCATTATTTCTACTATCAGCCCTATGAGGTTGCACAAGGCCCCACCACAAACTAGTGATACATAGGACAGAAAATGTGTATGATCTATGTGACACAGTGTATGCAGCACTCACTATGGGGATGACATCTGGTAAAATGTTTCCGTTCCCTTCTCACAGTGATGCTCCCACAACACTCAGAGACTGGTACTTGGGCACAACATGATCAGCCTGCCCTTAAAGCTGTGTCGAGCATATTACAAGCTAGATACATGATAGTTCTCAGTGTGATTATTAATATAAAATTTTGCCCCATAGCTATCTATTTAACCTGTGCTTTTTAAAAAGCCAAATCTATCTACTTAAAGAGAAACCAAGAAAATATTGTTTTTACTCTCCTTTTAACATAATACCGCCAGCTGATACCCTTACAGTCTCTTGAAAAGTTGGTGATAATGCTTTGTTTCTAGGTGAACACTTACATTCCTTTCCTCTGTGCAGTCGCAAGTACATGCTGCATCATGATTCAAACTGTATCACAGGTGCTTGATTCCCCCTCATGCTGTTCACAGACTGGACCTAGGGAGGTTGATTTAGGACATGAAGATAGCACCCACCACTTCTAATAGTGCTCTGGAGCCTCATTTCAGATGTAGTCCATTGTTTCGGGAAACTAAAAGCATAAATGCCTTCACCATAAATAACAGTAAGCAGGTGCCATATGGTTTGGCAGTTGCATGTGGTTACATATCACATCATTATCTCTTGCATTAAACACCCTGATTAACAAGGGAGTGAAGCTGTCTCCCCTTTGAAATTTTAGCCAAGGGTGTCAGCAACTCAGCCAGGAATTGCGGCAACACCAGAAGTCAAACAAACCAAACATTGCCCCCCCTCCCCGCAAAACCTACAAGCAGTATTGCTTCCAGCTTCGCCAACAATTCTACGGGAAATATTGCATTATTCTCTTGTCAAATGCTCACTTACCTCTAGGGAAAAAAAACGAGTCCTCTCAGAAGGGAGGTAATGACTGTGCCTATTCCTTCCTTGAATGAACTTTCCTTTGTTACACTTAGATAGAGTCTTAATAAAATCACCTTTGCAGGAAAACATGAAATAAATTCAAGAGATTAAGGCTTAGACATAAAAAGAGACAGGTGGCACATTGGAAAGAAAAGATCTGTTTTAAATATCTGTTTCAATAATACTGTCTTTCAGAAAGACAGTATTTGCCTTGAGCTGGGCAGATGCTAAGAGCAGCTCATAAATTAGTGCATTTACTCACCACCACCACAATCCAGGTGATAAAGGACCTTATTAGTATCCCCAATCCACAGCCAAGAGTCTCAGACAAGTTGAGGAACTTGGCCAAGTAAGTTGCAGAACTGGAATTTAAGCCTAGGAAGTGTGTTCCATAGTCCAATTGCTTAACCACTGCCGTAAACTGCTTTATGAGTCGAATCTTATTCTCAGACACTCAAGGCTTATTCACAACAGGCCTTGTTAATAAAAAGGTTACTGGTTATTTAACCTGGAGAAAGCCTCACTTTTTTGAGATTGCTACCTCTTAATCTATAAAGCAGGAATAATTATAACCCTTATACCCAAGGATAATATATGTAAAAATTCTACAGAAATCTAAGAAATTATTAAGCACTGTATCACAGCACAGTGTTGTGTGCCATAAATTAATGTAAAGACATCACAAGATAGGGGGACTAACTTTTCTGAACATCAAAGCACATACTAGAGGGACTATTTTAGGAGAAAATGTGCATAATCTACTTAAAAGGGAAAAAACTGAACACAAAAAAGTATGTATATCTTGGTATATGTAAGTACATTTACAACAATATGTATATGGAGAAAAATTATGTCTTGAAATTTAATAGAAAGTTGATCTTGGGGCACCTGGGTGGCTCAGTTGGTTAAGCTTCTGACTTTGGCTCAGGTCATGATCTCATGGTTCATGGGTTCAAGCCCCGTATCAGGCTCTGTGCTGACAGCTAGCTCACAGCCTGGAGCCTGCTTCGGATTCTTTGTCTCTCTGATCCTCCCCTGCTCAAGCTGCCTCTCTCTCCCTCTAAGAAATAAATAAAACATTAAAAACAAGTTGGTTTTGTATAAACATAAGCATACCCAGATCTACATAAATGTATCTACCTACATATTTATCTACTATACATTCCTCTTTATGACTAGAAGAATGTTAAGAGGAAAAAATATTAACAATAGTTATCTTGCAATAGTGCCTTTGTTTTCCAAACTTTCTGCATTTAAAAGGTGTTGCTTTATAATTCTCAACAAAATGAGAAAATGTTCATTTTTAATATGTATTACAGACATGTAATACATGAAATCTTCTAATATGTGAAATAATTTATTCGTAACTCAGAAAATCGGGGTAACAATGAAGCCACAGAAACCCCCATTTTAACACAAGTGGTGAAGATCAAGTCTCATGTTTATTATTGTGCTATCTACTTTCTCAGGTGTCCAAGGGGGTTACCAAAACAAAGTAATCTTCCCAGGGAAAAAAAATTGTTTCACTGAACTAGCACTATGGTGACGTGGTCTGCCCAGAGATTCCACTCTATCTGAATTGACCTGGCTCTTGAAAGAACTTGTTCTGGTCGTAGAAGCTGTTCCTAGATCATTATCAGAAATCATTTTGCTTCTCATCCCTTTCACAAGTAGATGTGAAATCCCAGGCATTCTTGCCTATTCTTTTTTCTATGGTTTAAAATAACCTCTGAAGTTGAAGAAAACCAAAACGTGCATGTTTAGTATCCTGTCTCTATCCTACTTCCATCGGTTTCATTTTCCTAGAGTATGGCCTGAGTCAGAAAACATCCTTCCTCCACTGCTTCTAATGGCCCCCTTTACACACAGGTCAGGTCTCCACCTACCTCGAGGGCTTCCACCATATGGCTGCAGCTTGCCTTTCCAGTCTTGTCTCCTCTTGCACCCACATCTGTATCCTGCGTGGATTTCTCACCACTGCCAAGTCAGGCTCCACTGTCTCTTAGTCCTTGTTTACCGGTGATGATGATCTCTTTCCTGGAAAGGTCTTCTTCCCTCTACATCTCAGCACCCCAGAAAAGTCCTACTCAGCCTCCAAACCCCGACTCCATCGCATCAACTTGAAGCGTTTTATCTTTTGTGTTTATTTTTAATTGAAGCTAACTTGACATCTACTATGTTCTTAGTTTCAGGTGTGAAGTGATTTGATAATTATATACATTACAAAATGCTCGCCACAGTAAATGTGGTTACCATCTGTCACCTTACAACATTATTACAATCTTATGGACTATATTCCATATGCTGTACTTTTTATCCCCATAACTTAATTACTTTATAACTGGAAGTCTGTACCTCTTAATCTCCTTCACCTATTTCACCCATCCCCGACTCCTCTCCCCTTTGGCAATCACCAGTTTGTTCTCTGTATTGAGGAGTCTGCTTCTGTTTATTTGTCTGTTCATTTGTTTTCATTTTTATATTTTACATATAAGTCCAACTATACGATATTTGTCTTTCTCTAACTTATTTCACTTAGAAGAATATGCTCCAGGACCATCCTTGTTATTGTAAATGGCAAGATGTCTTTTCTATGGCTGAGTAATATTTCATTGTGTGTGTGTGTGTGCATGTATACACACTACATTTTCTTTATCCATTCATCCAGTGATAGACACTTAGGCTATTTCTGTATCTTGCCTACTGTAAATAAAGTAGCCATAAATATAGGTGAACTCAATAAAGCATTTTAATTCCTCTCAAAAAGGATATTCTTTCACCTCCTTTAAGCACTTTTTCTCTCAGTACTTTCTACTTTTTTTCCCCTTACAATATTCCTTTCTCTACTTTACACTGTAGAGAGTAATCAGATATCAGGACATCAAACTTTTCCCCACACAGAGAGCTTACCATATAGTGAGTCTCTGCCAGAAAGTAAACAGAATAAGCTAGCATTTGTATAGGACATTAATATACCAAATGCTTCCATGTACATTATTCCAAGTAATCCTCATGAGCTCTCATGACAGATGTCATCAATATGATCATCGTTCTTTTGTAGATAAAGAGACAAAAGTTGACTTACTGGAATGACCTGAGAATTCACCAGTGGTGTCTGTCTCCAATAAAGGTGCTAGCATTTTACTCCAAAAGAATTTCTCATTGGTGCTTCCTGTTGTCCATCCACCTTAATTAACCTGATTCTTGGAGAGGCCAGCTGTGGCTTGGCAGAGACAACAGCTTTCCCTCAACTAATGAGACCCCAGAAGGAAGGTTACAAAGTGCTATCTGTGACCAGTGGAGCCAAGCTGGAAGAAAAGTCACTGGTAAAACTCATACTTATTAGGGTGGCTGTGGAGTCCACACGGCCAGCCACACTCACCGTTCATCCCACCCCCTCACTTTCATGTGTGCTTTTACTTGCCAGGTTGACCTGGATGAGTATGTCCAGGAGCCCAGCTGCTAGGGTCATGGCCCTTTCCAAGCTCTGAGCAAGCAGGTCTGTGTCGAGGAGACACAACTGCCCCTGATGCTCACAGTGAGCTCCTGCCATTCTTCGTATCTAGGAGTCTTCCAAACTGTAGTCACTCCTTTGGGCTCAAGACCTGTAGCAGTCATTCATTCAACAAACTGTTGACTTGTCCCTGTTGTAGGACAAGGGTTATTATCATGGGCTCCAAAGCCTGAGCAAGAAAGAAGATAGACCCACACCCTGACTCATAGAATGGTGTTATCTTTCCAGAAAGACCTTCCTCACGTATAAGCATGTGTCAGCTTGCACTGTTATAACAAAATACCATAGACTGGGTGGCTTAAGAAACAGACCAGATGCCTCATGGCTCTGGAGGTTAGAAGCCCAGGATCAAGGGGCTGGCCAATTTGGTTGCTTATGAGGGTTTTCTTCCTGGTTTGCAAATAGACATCTTGCTCCATCCTCACCTTGCAATGAGAGAGATCATCTCTCTTGTATCTCCTCCTATAAAGGTAATAATCTCAGAATGGATCTCATGTTACCTCATCTTTTTTTAAGGTATTTAACTTTTTATTTATTTATTTATTTATTTATTTAAAGATGAGATAGGGAAAATGAGAGAGCATGTGCAAGTAAGGGAGGGGCAGATTTTATAAGGGAGAGAGGGAATCCAAACCAGGCTCCATGCTGTCATCACAGAGCCCAATGTGGGGCTCCATCTCATCAACTATGAGATCATGACCTGAGTCAAAATCAAGAATCAGACACTCAACCAAATGATATCCAGGTGTCCCCTCTCATTACCCCATCTAAACCTAATGCCTCTCAAAGACCCCCTTTCCGAACACCATTACACTGGGGTTTAGGGCTTCAACATAAGACTTTGGGGAAAATGCAAACATTTAATCTACAGCACCATGTTTCCTAAAAGGGTGCTAAAACATTAGTATCCCCTCACAAACCCCAGTGAATTATTCCTCAGTAATGAGAGTCCTCTACTAATTTATTTCTTTATTTATTCAAATATATACTGAAGATATGCTGTAGACTTTTCTGCCCTTGTGCTATCTACACTTAAGAAAACATGCCCAGCCCACTTAATGTGTCATGTTTTCATTTTTATTTTTCAGAGACAGAGAAAGCATGTGCACACAGACACGCATACAAGCAGGGGAGGAGCAGAGAGAGGGAGAGAGAGAAAGAATATCAAGGAGGCTCTGTGCCCAGTGTGTAGCCCGACATGGGGCTCAATCTCACAACTATGAGATCATGACTGAGCCGAAATCAAGAGTAGCATGCTCAACTAATTAGGCTAACCAGGCATTCCTAATAGGTCATGTTTTCAAATCTGAAGTATCTTTCCTAAAGTCTCCTGGTTTTGCACTCCTTCCCTATGTCATGTTACTACTTAATACCAAAGAAACATGATCTCAATATATCATGCTTCACAGTGTTGGAACCCAGTGAACTACAAATGCATTCATTCAGTCAACATCATTAGCCCTGCTTCTATCTGACACACTGAAAATAAAAACAGAAATAAAACCTTCTGCCAATATGCACCACTCTCAAATGAAGGAGATGAATGAAAAGTCAATGGAGGGGAGACAAACTCAAGGTGTATACACTTGTTCCCAGTGTGCAGAATCCTCAGCTTCTCACCAGGGAGATTGATACAGCAGGTTGAGACAGGGCTCCAGAATCTACACAGTTCATATGCTTCTGAGGTGATTAGAATGCAGTCAGCAAAGGACAGATGAAGACAAGGTCCAAAAGAGTGGCTCATCAGAGCACTCTTGGGAGAGAAACTAGCATGTTCAAAAAGGATACAGGTATGGATACAGATTATATATATGCAGATGTAGATCCCAACGCTTCCTGTCCCTTGGCATGAAGGCTAGAGGTCCAGAATGTTCCAAATGGTTTACTATTATAATGAAAGATGCCAAAGGGAACCTGTCTTAGAGGTGAAGACTTGTTGGAAGACATACACTGCATAAAGTTTATTTAACCTGTTGCTATGCCTTAACTGTACTGCAAAGAGAACAGTTGGGGGTGGAAGGCCACTTTCATTTCCCCTCTTCCATCCCAGTCTCTAAACCTTGAGGGAGAAAAGAGGTAGTAATAGAGGTCTGGCTAATATACAGCTTGTCGGTGTGCTAATGGTCTGATGCCACACACCATTTCACAAAGGCTACCCAATAGCCCTTAGATATTAGAACCCAGTTACTCTCAGACTGAGATAAATTTAAAGTAGTACCCAGGGGACAAGTCTATACGAGGTCAATAACTCACACTGGACCTGGAAAGTCTCTTGCTAGAATCTGTACAGAGTGGGAGATGTTTTACTAGAGAACCAATGACTTGCCTAAGGCCCTGTGGACCCATGGCTCCAAAGCCTGTTTTCATCGGCACTGCAATGTCCAACAGAGATTAACTCATGCCAATGGTACTGAGTATTATTTCACTTTCAAATGATAAGGATCTGAAATCATCTAGCTAGGTTATTTACCTAGTATAAATCTTACAGTCTTTGTCATTATAAACTACAATTCTTTTTTTTTTTTTCATTGTTCGAACATATTAGTTCTGAGCAACGGTTTTATTTTTATTTTTATTTTTTTACAAATAGTTTATTGTCAAATTAGTTTCTACATAACACTCAGTGCTCATCCCCAAAGTGCCCTCCTTCATGCCCATCCCCCCCTCCCCACCACATCCATCAGTCCTCAGTTTTTGTCAGCATTCAAGAGTCTCTCATGGTTTGCCTCTCTCCCTTTCCCCCACCATTTCCCCCCTTCTTCTCCCCCTTGGTCCTCCGTCAAGTTCCTCCTAATCCTCCTATGCGTGCAAACATATGGTATTTGTCCTTCTCTGCCTGACTTATTTCGCTCAGCATAACACCCTCAAGGTCCATCCATGTTGCTACACATGGCCAGATTTCATTGTTTCTCATTGCCATGTAGTATTCCATGGTATAGATAAACCACATCTTCTTGATCCATTCATCTGTTGATGGACACTTAGGCTCTTTCCATGTTTTAGCTATTGTGGAGAGTGCTGCTATGAACATTGGGGTCCATGTGCTCCTATGCCTCAGCATTTCTGTATCCCTTGGGTAAATTCCTAGCAGTGCTATTGCTGGGTCATAAGGGAGTTCTATTGTTAGTTTCCTGAGGAACCTCCACACTGTTTTCCAGAGGGGCTGTACCAGTATAAACTACAATTCTAACTAATCTTTCTCAATTCTCTACTTGGAATACCCATGGAGCATGAAAATAACTAGACTCCAAAATTTTCCCAGAAAATAAATTTGTTGCCAATTCTCTCATATACTTTCTCTCTCCCAAGTGATCAAAGAATAATGGGCAATTTGATCTAATCTTCTTTTAAATAGATGTACTCCTACAATCATTTTGTTGTTATAAATAATTAGGTACGTTATGGCCTCTTTTAAACAGCACTAGATATTCTATTCTATTCTAACACACTTCTATAGCAACACCTGTGTAGAGGATCCATAAGTAATACTAAGAAAACAGACTTTGGGACTTGGCAGCTCATTCACATTATAATGAGAAAGTAACAAAGTAGCCAACAATGTATATTTAACTCTGATATTTAATTAACCACACTGTATTAAGTGTAAGTCTTAGGTGAAGGAATGAAACAAAATGGGTAATTAGGATTCACTCCGCTTAAAAACAAAAACAAAAAGGGGCGCCTGGGTGGCTTAGTCGGTTAAGCGTCCGACTTTCGCTTAGGTCATGGTCTCGCGGTTTGTGGGTTCGAGCCCCGCGTCGGGCTCTGTGCTGACTGCCAGCTCAGAGCCTGGAGCCTGTTTCAGTCTGTGACTCCCTCTCTCTCTGACCCTCCCCTGCTCATGCTGTCTCTCTCTCTCTCTCCTAGAAATAAATAAAACATTAAAAAAAACAACAACAGCCTACTTCTTTATACACGTATGACAGTTTGGTTTGTCATGCACCAAGATTCTAAGTTAACCGACACTGAACAAATGTTTGTATGAAGGAAATTTACGCATCCACAAAATATTGGCTAATTAAACAAACAAACAAACAAACAAAACACTTCATCATGAAATCAGAAGGATCAATTCATTCTTAAAATGAATTCTCAAGCTGACCAGCCAAGTACCAAATCTGGTTACTGACTCGGCAGTGTTTAGCATGTGCATCTTGCACTGGGCACATGCTCTCCAGCTCATCTGCCCCACCACTCTCCATTTTCCACCCTATAAATTCATATACTCTCCATTTTCCACCTATAAATTCATACATTTCTGCTATTTTCTTTGGCCCCTGATGGCATTTGAAAGGTCATGACCCTGCCTTAGAAATGAACTAAGCAAGACTGGGCTTCAGGGGCCAACCCTAATTGTATTTTTTGCCACTTTGATGCCAGAAAGGGAAAATGGGAAGGAACATATACCTGCAAAGGCAGAGCAAGGGGCTAATTATGGTTGGTTTTCAAATATTGGGCCCAAAGTTCCTTGCCTCGATGTGGACTTCTGTGTTCAGATGAAAATTTTAAGGAACTTAAATTTTAGAGATTTTTTCAAGTCCTGTATCTGGATGATCTAATTTGATCCTCCACCCCCACAGAACAGGAATTATTATTTCCCTTGGTGGGAGAAGGACAGGGAATAATGTACGCCAAGTGCTCACCACAATGCCTAACACATGTTGAGGGTGTTACCAGTATTGACGAGAAGTCCCGCCCTCCATTTACTTGACATGTATTTATTAAGCACCTACTCCATGCCATGCATGGTTCTAGGGGCTTTGATACAGCAATGAATAAATAATTCCTGTTCTCACGTTGCATATATTCTAGGAGAAAACATTGCCAATAACCTAACAAATCTGTCAGGTAGTGATGAGAGTCATGAAGACAAGTCAAACAGGGTAAAGGAAAAGAGCGTGATGGGGTGCCACTTTATTCAGGGTGATCAGGGAAGTGCTGATTACAGGGAGGTGTCACCAGAGAAGGGCTCTGTCCAACGCTGTTTTGCAGTCAGGAATGGAGAAATAAATGGCTCTATCCTTGCGCCTTGATTTGGGCTAGCGTTTTATTTTTTTTATAAAAAGGTTCACGTTAGTACAGCTTGTTAACAGTCAAAAGGTAATTTCCATTTGGCAACACTCTAATGAATAAAACATTGCTAGGAATAGCAAGCAGAATGTGATCCGCTGGAGGCTATACACAGAGCTTCGGAAATTAAGGCTCTGACCCTGGACCACCACTGCAATGAGAAGCAAAGATAGCACATGCTCCCAGGTACTTGGGAAGAGAGAGATGTTTCTGTAAGTGAATAGCACACCCTTGATCATCTGTTCGATTTCAGAAGTAACTGAGCTTTCTTCAAATCAGCCAAAAATAAATTAAGAGGAAAATGGACCCCACCAGAACATCTCAAATTAGAAACCTTTTCATATTTGAGGTCTTTCATGCCTCTGGCATCAGAAGGCTGAGAAAGTGGAGCTAATCTCAATTTCTTCCTTACCCTGTACACTCAGGCTTATGAGTTTTCTGATATACCTGTGACATTGGCATTCAAATCAATCCAGCAGGCACTTATTGATCCTCCATGACATGCCAGGATACCAAGGTAGAATATGATCCATATTGCAAATAAGCTTGCAGCCAAGTAGGGAAGACAGCTGTGTGAGCAAATAATTGCAATCAAGTGGGATGAGTGAAACAGTGGATCATTAAGGAGTAGGAAAGAAAGAAAGGAGAGGAGCATTGAAGAAAGCTTCCAAGAAGTAGCAAACCAACTGGCTTTGGGAAATGAACATGGGCCAAGTGAGAAAATCATGCCATAAAGAGGACACAGCATGAATGAAAAAACATACAGTTCTAAAACAGCATGACACACTCAAAGGAGCTATGAATAGAATTTGGGGTTTCCAGGGCACAAAGTAAAAGTGGACTGATGTCATGAGAAGAAGCTCAAAAGCTAGATAGGGATCAGGTCCTGAAGAATCTGTTTGTACTGCTTTCTTATTTCATGTGTTTAAACAGGGTACTAATTGGCTGTCCATTTAAAAATATACATGAGGGGCACCTCGGTGGCTCAGTCGGGTTGAGCGTCTGACTTTGGCTCACGTCATGATCTCAGGTCTCGTGGGTTCGAGCCCCACATCCAGCTTTGTGCTGACAGCTCAGAGCCTGGAGCCTGTTTCCAATTCTGTATCTCCCTCTCTCTCTGACCCTCCCCTGCTCACACTGTCTCTCTCCGTCTCTCAGAAATAAATATAACATTAAAAAAAACTAAAATTAAATTAAAAAAATAAAAATATCCATGAAAACCCATTAGTTAATTTTGTTCCTCAGAGTCATTCACACATTCATCTCCAACTTTAATAACTTGTTATTCATGGCCTGAGATCTCTTTATCCTATCCCCTCTAGAGTTATACCTTAATGTATGAAATTGAATTTATGGTTAGTGAAGGGTAACAGATTAATAGAACTATAAATTAATCTATTCATCCATATACTAATAGTAGAAAACCTAAAAAGAGGCAGTTCAATCTAACACCATCTATTATTATGCCTTAAAACTCAAGCCTAGAGAAATGAGATGAAAATTTATAACCAAAGACCGAAGAGCAGGGGGCAAGCAAGACATGTGACCACAGGGAATACTATGCAATATTCTGTTTCCAGAACCCTCTTAGGAAGACACTTTCAAACAGTCTTAAAATTTCTTATTTTAAAAAATTGTGTCATGTTTATATTACATCAATTAGCAGTGTTTTATTGCTTCACCAATAAAGGAAGCCATATTAAACTATGATTTACTCCAGTCCATTATTAACAAATAATATGACGATGGTAATAATAAATGAGTGAGTGACTAAAAAAGGGACATGCAAGCTATTAAGAAATACTCTGTTTTGGAAAGAAAAGGGGAAATAGAATTTAATAATCCTTCATTGGCCATAGTCTGATTGGAGCCACCGAATATAGAGCCTATGTGCCACCATGTTATATCCCATTCATATGACAGATATTGCTGACCCATTAGTATTCTTTCCTCTATAATCATCAGCCACTTGCCCGAGGCTGACATTTAGGAGCTGGCAACCACAGTATGCCAACCTCAGCTAACAGACTCCTACCTTTTTCTAACAAAATCAGATGCCCTCTATTGAAATCCATCTTCCATTGTTTCACCAACATTGTCTTCCTACAAGTGAAAGCCAACCATATTGATCAGCCACATGAAGAGCTCCCACTGGCTTATTTATTCCTAGAAGGATAAACACAAATTTCTTAATGTAGTCTTGAAGTCCTTTCACAATTTGTACTTACCTCACCTCTGTTTGTGGCCTCACCCCCGCCCCTTTCTCTTTTCTATACCCTAATTCAGAGTTTGACATTCAAACCTTTAACAACACCTGGATTTTGTACATGGTATTCCATTCTTCTTTATCTGGTAAACTACTAGTCATGCTACGAAGTGTATGAATCAACTGTCACTTCTCCAGTGAGCCCTTCCTGTAGCAGCCATCTGTTAGCATCCACTCTTCCTGGTTCAGGACACATTTTCTTCCTGACTTTCAGCACAAAGGGTTCAGGGGAGGCCACAAGAGAGGTCACCTGGCCAATGAGCATGGTATCATCCTGGACACAGAAACCAGTTCACAAATGGACATGTGTCACCAGCTGTACAGAGTACATCCCATCTAGTACACTACTAAAAAATAGGCTTGAATTTTAAAAATCTAATAAAGAGTCACCCTGCTGTGTAGATCATTTTTGCCATCCTATGGGAAGAGGTTGCAGAAATATCCCTCCCTGAGAAAGGAACAGTCAAAACAGGGATAATAAGCCTCTTTCTAATGACCGTATTTGAGTCCCTGGACTTTGTTTTTCTTAAGTTTGAGTTTTTATTTTGCATAGAAAAGGATCTCACTGACATAGTCCCCTAGTACCTACCAAAAAAAAAATAATTAATCACTATTTCCTTTATGGTCCCATAGAACTCTTCTTAAAATCCCCAAAAGAGCAATTATCATGTCCCATCGTTATTTATTTAGACAGCTGTGTCCATTACTAGAGTGTGAGCAGTGAATGTGTCTTATTCACCTTTGGGACACCAGTGCCTGACACACCATCAGTACAGATGTCTGTTGAATGAATAGGCTGAGGAATAAATTCCAGCCACATTTCTAGTTTCATTTTCCTCTCAGAATATCTTCATGAATTTTAAGGGCCAATGATCCCCACATTTTCCTTCCTTCTTCAATATGCTCTTGTAATTTCCCATGGCACCAAAGGTAGTTGTCTTTCCAAACCACCTTGTAAGTCTCTCAAATAATGAACTCCATTTCAGCGGAGTTAGATGCCACATAAGAACCTCCATGGGACTCATATGTTAAGAAAAATAATATTAAAATATTCATGTGCAGGGAGGGCAAGGAGTGCCTGACTTTCCCAGTTGGTGAATCATCTGACCCTTGATTTCGGCTCAGGTCATGATCTCATGGTTTGCAAAATCAAGCCCTATGTTGGGCTCTGTACTGACAATGCGGAGCCTGCTTGGGATTCTTTCTCTCTGCCTGTCTCTCACTCTCTCTCTCTCTCTCTCTCTGCCTCTCTCTCTCTCTCAAAGTAAATAAGCAGTAACAAATAAAAATAAAGTGTTCATGAAGGAAATGCAAGGAAATCTAATTTTTTAATGTGAATTATGGAAAATAAAATTTAATCCTATCTTGGGGTGCCTGGGTGGCTCATTCCATTAAGCATCTGACTCTTTATTTCAGCTAAGATCATGATCTCATGGTTGTGAGATCCACACTGAGCATGGAACCTGATTGTGATTCTCTCCCTCTGCTCCCCTGTTTGCATGCTCTGTCTCAAAATAAATAAATAAAAAATTTTAGAACTTTTTAAAAAATTAATTTTTTAGAATTTTTTTAAAAGATAATTTTTAAAAATTCGATCCAATTCTTGTGACTGGTGGGTCCGAGGATACATTTCAAATCCATGAAGATAAATAGCAAAATGTTTTAAAAATTATATGAGAGTGGTAAGATATCTGGTGATTTATTTCTCTACATTCTTTATTCCTTTCTGTATTATCTTTATCATTTTATTTTACAAAAAGCATGGATTTATATTATAATAAGAAAACAAAAAGCTCTTTTTGTTTTAAAAATAAAATTATGGGGTGCCTAGGTAGTTCAGTCAGGTAAGTGTCAGATTTCAGCTCAGGTCATGGTCTCGCAGTCCATGAGTTTAAACCCCCATCGGGCTCTGTGCAGACGGCTCAGAGCCTGGAACTGCTATGAATTCTGTGTCTCCTTTTCTCTGTGCCCCCTCCCCCTTCTTCCCTCCTCCCTCTCTCAAAAATGAATAAACATTAAAATTAAAAAAAAATTTTTTTTAATGTTTTTTATTTATTTCTGAAAGAGAGAGAGCACGACCAGGAGAGGGTCAGAGAGAGAGACACACATAGAATCTGAAACAGGCTCCAGGCTCTGAGCTAGCTGTCGGCACAGAGCTCGACATGGGGCAAACCGCGAGATCATGACCTGAGCCAAAGCCAGACGCTTAACCGACTGAGCCACCCAGGTGTCCTCAAAATTTTTTTAAATAAATAAAATCACATGTCTCCTTTGGCCCAATGTAAGGGAAGATGGAGAAGTCTCATCTTTAAATGAGAGACTTTTAAATCAGAGATTTAGAATCAGATTCAGTCACCACTTCAGCCTCCTGCACCAGACCCTCCTCCTTAAACCCTTACATTTTGGTCAGAATCCAAATAATTGCTCCTACTCCCCCCATTCACTGGGCTTTGCAGATGCAACCCTTGATCTCTACCTTAGGAAAACATCATTCTCCCATGATGTAGATAACAACACCACTAACCCTATCTGTCATGTTAAAATATTCACTTTCAAGGGATTGAGATAAAGTAAACATGTATCATGATATACCCATATGGCAATCAAAATGAATGTTTGCAATTAAAATAGCATGCAGTTGATCAGGGCCTGTGTCTTGATGTTTCAGTTAAAAACAAACATGAAAAGGGGCACCTGGGTGGCTCAGTCGGTTAAGCGTCCAACTTTGGCTCAGGTGATGATCTCACCATTCCAGAGTTGGAGCTCCTTATTGGACTCTGTGCTGATAGCTCAGAACCTGGAACCTGTTTTAGATTCTGTCTCCCTCTCTGTCTGTGCCCCGCCCCTACTTGTGCTGTCTCTCTCAAAAATAAATAAACATTAAAAACAAACAAAGTCAATTTCTTTTTCCCCCCATTAGCATTGCATGGCAGGTATCACCAGCTTCTTGAAGTAACTAAGAAACTTAATATCAAGTGGCAACCCCTGAAGAATGTGTTTTGAAACACAGCAGTTCCCACACACAGTGCTTACTTCCCCCACCACATACCCCCCAAAAAAACTGTAGGTAGGATGAAAACAGTAATCACAATGGCCAACAATGACCTGGTCCCTGCAGGGGCAATCCTTAACTCTCCCAGATACACACAGGCTTCCTCCTATCTTTATGAGCTTCCATAACTGCCAATCTCATGCCCACCTTAAATGAAGTTTTCCAAAATCTTTTCCCCGAAGTTCAGCTGATATTTATCAAGTACCATCTCTGTGCCAAGTAGTGGTTTGCTTGGAAACGTGCACAAACCATGTCTGACTGAAGTAGAGCCCTGGTTTGTAGCATTTACTGGCCTCCATGGTAAATTCCTCCATCACAGTCAGTTTCAATTTATGAGAGAAAAGTCACTGAACAAGGAATTGGAGATGTTCAATGTACATCACTATGGAGTGTGTCCCCACTGCAAACAACTTACATATAAATGATTTAAAGAACATGGATAATAGCAAAAGGTAGAAAAACAATTAGGAAGTGGAGATTTGAGTATTTGTTGTATTTGTCTTTGAATATAATTAAATTATAGTTTTGTGTCATTTAAGTTTTAGTAATGGTTGTCTTTAACAGCCTCCTCTCAAAATTCCTTAAAATTTAACATTTAGTAAGAACGAGTCATTATGAGCCACACTACTGGTGCTGGGGCTTGTGATAAGGTCTGAGGACACATGAATAAAATATAGTCTCTCCTCGGAAGCAGCTCTCAGCTCCATAATAGAGAGAGACATAAGGAAATTACAGCAAAGTGAAAACTCCTAAGGGGAAGTGTCGACAAAATACTTAGAGCACAAACAAGCCTGAGGGGAGAGTCAGGGAGAAATTCAGAATATATCCGGCAAAAGATGCAACACCCGAGTTTAGTCCCCAAACATGCTTAGAAGTGGATAGCAAAGAGTACAGGCAGCCAGACAGAGACACTGCCATTTGTGTCCAAGGAAACAGCACATGCAAGAGTTTAAATGCATGAAAGAGCCAGATACTCTCTGGGGATTTCAAAGCATTTGGAACATAGAGTTCATGTGGAGAAGAAATAGAAATGAACGTTCAAGTCCTTTTCCCTTTATGTCAAAACTATCATCCACAAGAGTGGTTTTAAGAAACTTCAATGGCAGGTTCTCAAACAGTTTATTGTATCAATGCCCAGAACACATTTCAGTGTGAATGTGCCACTTAACATTCCATGGGAGAAAGAGGGGTCTGCTTGAAATTAACTAGAGATTGCAACAATGAGTAAGATATCATACCCACACTTATGGTCTCACAAAAGCCACACAAAACAATAGTAAGAGAAAGACCATCTCTGCATTCACTCTTGTACCAAAAACATGAACATATTGAAAGGGGCTGTGGTGGGCTGTGTGACTCCTAGACTTCCTTCACTGGTGAAGGAATTATTCCCCCAGATGCTGGAATGTTACTAGAAGATGATCCTGGACTCTCAGCCCTCTTTGAAAATAGCCTCACCTATAGTCCCTATAGTCCCACCCCCTGCCCAGAGAAGCTCACATCCAATAGAGAGGTGGTCAATGATGGGCTATCAAGACCTTGGCCCCTTGCCTTAACTCACTGAGTTGAGCTCCTGACAACACTGAGGGAGCTCCTGATAGACTGGGTGAGAGTACGTTGAGAATGAATCCTTTTGCCCAGTCCTGCTTTCTTCTCCTTCTTTCTACTGGTATTGATCCTGACAAACACCCTGAATGCTTATCTCTGTCTCACGGTCTCTTTCCAGGAAATCCAACTTGCAGCAACAACCAAAGAAGGCTTAATTCCTTCCTTCCTTCAATAAATATTGGTTAAGCTCTGTCCACATGCCAGGCTCTATGCAGGGCACTCACGTTGCAAAAGGG